TAAAATACTCTGGAACCTGAGTCTGCAGGTGACATTGCCAGTATGGTTGTCAACTCACTGAACACGAACCTGTTGTGCTTTTTCCCCATTAACAGATGGATGGTTCCTGCTCTGTACATACAGTGTCCACCTAGAACTGGTCACACACTAACCTTTAAAGTTTAAGCAAAACGTATGTGAAATTTGTAGGTGAATTTGCTACACATGAACCTACCTGCTAGTTTCTATTTATGGATTCATTTGGTTTTATGAATGGGCTATTTACAGAGGAATTCAGAATAGGATCAAAATGAAAAGGATGGTACTCTGAGCTACTTAGTTAAGTGGAGGATTGCATTAACTAGAAGTTAATGTTTGTTGCAGGGCTGTGAACAACTCAAATTATGGTTGGAGAGCCCTGAGGCTCTTAGCGAGGAGAAGCCCTCATTTCTTCCAGCCGACCAACCAGCAATTTAAAAGTTTGCCAGAGTATCTTGAAAACATGGTAATAAAGCTAGCCAAGGAATTACCAGTAAGTACTAGATAACAATTTTTCACATCCTTTTGTTGCGATCGTCTTGAAAATTGTTGTAATTTGAGCAAAAGCCTGATTATAGAGTTCAGAATAAAGATCCACATGAAGGAAAAAATGTGTTTGAGTATACATTTGCAAGAAGTATTTAAAGTAACTTTAATTTTACAAATTAGAGTATGGAATTTTACCATAGTATCTTGAAATAAGCTGTTTATTGTCTGCATGTAAACTCTGACATAAAATTTTTCAAGTTTTATATTGTCTTTTATGAAAGACGGGGAATTTGCTTTTTATTTACAATCTCATCTCTAAGATATGAGAAGTAATAACTATACTGTGGAGAACGCTTCCTCCCTCCCTGTTTTCTACACTAGGTGTGTACAAACTGTCTTCGTGTAATTCCCAGGTTGGAAGCAAGGGAAGTCTTTGCAGCCCTCAGCTCTTCCCCCAGGGTGCTCCTTCTCCAGTTGACCCCCACTCCCCTTGTGATCCTTATGTGACATTGATACTCTAACAGTACAGTTGTGAGTCCTAGAATCTAACTGCTGTAGACAAACAAAGTCCCACTTATCTTACTTCAGATTTGGCATTGTTACATTCTATTCATTTTTAGCCTCCTTCTGAAGAAATAAAGACAGGTGAGGATGAAGATGAGGAAGATAATGATGCTTTACTGAAGGAAAACGAAAGTAAGAATTGCATTTTCTTGACTATTTTACAAAATTGGAAGACTGGGATTTGTTGTAGAAGTACATTATTTAATTTGATCTAGTTCTCCATTTCTCTTATTTCTGACTTCTTTTTAGTATAGTACTAAAAACCCTGCTTGTGAGAGTAACTTGAGAAATAATACGTTTTATGCATTAAAATAAGAAAATGATGGTATTTGAAAAGAGAAGGTTGCATTTGAGTGGGGTGGGGGTTACAGGGCAGCAGCTGAAAAGAAAAGAAAAAGCCTTCCATACTAGCAGTAAGGAGCTCTGGTAGTGTAGTGGTTATGAATCAGGCTGCTAACCTCAGAGTCAGTAGTTTGAAACTACCAGCTGTTACGAGGGAGAAAGATGAGGCTTTTTGCTCCTATAAAGATTTACAGCCTCGGAAACCCTGTACAGGGTTGCTGAGTGAGGACCCACTCCATGGCATGCAACCATCACTACCACCACACTAGAGTTGGTAGCCCTGGTAGCACAGTGGGTTACAAGTTGGGCTGCTAACCACAGTTTCCACAGTTCAAATCTATCAGCTGCTCCACTGGCAGAAAGATGAGGCTTTTTGTCCCCGTAAAGGTTTACAGCCTCAAACGCTATGCAGGGTCCTTATGAGTGAGAAGTGACTCAAAGGCATATGGGCTGTTGTGCTGCTATAGGATAAGCGAGTTGCTCCTCAGAAACTTAAAGAGGTGCGCTATGAATAGGATCCAACTCAATGGCATAATAGTCGTAATACAGGTACCAGCCTTAGGGTTATTTATTGAACTTCTTATGGTCATGGCCTCCTGGTGTGGCTTTACAGGATAAACACTGGAGGTGTGAACCACAGTTCAAACCTACCAGCAAACCCTGTAAAGCAGGGAACCTTTTCTCTGCCAAGAGTTATTTCGATATTTATAACATTATTCGCTGGCCATACAAAATTGTCAACTTAAAAATTAGCCTGCTGCTATATTTGGTCAAACAATTAACTCACCCCTTACGTGGAGTCCTGGAGTCCTGGTGTGGCGCTGTGGGTTTATGCGCTGGACTGCAAAGTCAGTTTGAACTGCAAGATGGGTGGTTCAAGCTCACCAGCTGCTCCTCAGAAACCCTATACAGGGTCGCTATGAGTCAGAAAAGATTCCACAGAACTTAACTTGAAGGCTAGAACTGTAGTTGCCTTGGCAGGGCCAGACCAAATGATTTTACTGGCTGGATGATACCCACCCCTGCTATATAGGGTCCCTGTTGAGTTGGAACCCACTTGACACTTACTACAATGGTCATGACTTGTAAGTAGGGTTCCCCAATCTATGGAGAATACAAAAAAATTTAAAGGTTACTGAAAGTGATTAGGAAGGAGCCCTGTTGGCACAGTGGTTAAATGCTGAGTTGCCGATAGGTCCATGGTTCAAACCCACCAGCTACTGCATAGGAGAAAGATGTAGCAGTGTGCTTTTTTGAAACCCCATGGGGAAAGGTGATTCATCTCAGTGGCCTCCATATCATTTTATCTTTTCAATTCAGTTGAAATTATGAGTCGCACAGGTCATTGTACTTTGCATATAATTTACACATTCCTATGTTTTACAGGTCCTGATGTTCGGCGAGATAAACCTGTAACAGGGGAACAAATAGAGATATTTGCCAACAAGCTGGGTGAACAATGGAAGGTTCTGGCTCCCTTCCTGGAAATGAAAGACTCTGAAATAAGGCAGATTGAAGGCGACAGTGAAGACATGAAGATGAGAGCGAAGCAGCTCCTAGTTGCCTGGCAAGATCAAGAGGGGTTACATGCAACGCCTGAGAATCTGATTAATGCATTGAATAAGGCTGGATTAAGTGACCTTGCAGAAAGTCTAACTAATGACAATGAGACAAATAGTTAGCTTTTTTCTTTTTCTTTCTTTTTTTTTTTTTTTTTTATTAAAACTGTGATAAGATTTTGTTACCAAGCAGCATTTGATAAGAGGTCCACTGGTTTTGGTAAACAATAAACATTTTTATAACAGTTCTTGTACAGTTGGCTGGTGCTCCAGGAACAATAGAACACACACTGGCTCTCAATAAATGACCCGGGGGCTTGGGAGAGGGGGTGGGGCCCGCGGGGCATGGCCAATCTTAAGTGACCTCAAGGTCACAGAGTATATTTTTGTTCAATAAATTAAGTCTCAAGCAATATTTAAGAAAATGTTTCCTAAAATACACTGTGCCAGATTTGTTTGCTCTATGAAGTTACAAAATTTAATCCCCTATTCTGAAATCCTGACTGCTCTTCTGTCATTTACGCTTTAAAGCAGAGGATCACCAAGCAGCAGTCCTTCACCACCTGTTCTCAGACGACTTTACTGGCTTGCAGTCATTCTCAATCATTAGAAAGATGAATGGCAAGAGACCACATGATTCTCTGCAAAACCTAAAATATTTACCATGCGACCCTTTACAAAAAACGTTTGCCAAGCCCTAATTTTAAAAGAACTTGTGTGAAGTAAAAAACCTGGAGTTGTTTTTTTAGCCTTACAAAAAATATTTCAAGTTCTCAAGCCTTTGAAATAGGGATGCTTTACCTCAGAGATTGCTTTTAAGTTCAAATGAGACATGGGAAAGCACCCTATAAAAAGCAAAGCACTATGTAGTAGGCTAAAAAACTACCCTCTGAGTTCCCATTCCCACATAAACCTTACCCTGTAGGATTTTAGGTAAGGTCCTTTGTTGAGTACCCTAAAGACTCTGTGCTCCTGCTTGGGATTTAACTCCACTAACTGGTTACGCAGTGACAGCACGGCTCCAGTAAAGAAATGGCCTCAGTGTTAGTGGTGCAGCATATAAGGCACATTCAGCTATCAAGACCCTTTCTCATCTGCTCTCTCGTCTTAAAGATCTTACATGCAGCAAGGCCAAATTCTAAACTAGCTTTACTAAATGAAAACAACACTGATTTTGTCTTAATTTCTACTTTTAAAATATCTTTGGAACAATGTTTTTTGGACCAATAACGTGAAATTTAACTTCTTATGATAGACATTGAGGAATGACAATTTAAAAATCTTAACTCCACTCAAGACTTACATACTTTGTTTAAAACGTACTTCACGTGGTCTAACAGCTACAGCATCCAACAAATCAGAAAACGTGGATTCTAACTGCTTGCTACATTTATGACCTCAAAATTATTTGAACCAAATGAGATAATTAATTTAAAAATTTCCAGAGATAAAGGCATCATACAAATACAAAAACTCTTAATTTTTATGGTCTCATCTTCCCCATTCTATTGTCTCCCTCCCAAAGTATTAATTACCAACAGTAAAAGTTTAGGTAAAGAAGCTATTCACAAATAACCTCCCTGAAGTACTTACTCCTAGGGTTCTCATTGTTCAAATTAAAGATATGAAATGGCCATTACGCTTTAGAAATCATAGAGTTATTGACATAATGCTCTACAGAACCTTAAAGAGATAGGAGATTTCATGATAACTCTCAAAATTTTACTATCACGCTAAGAATAGAGCAGACAATATTGTTGCTCCTGACCTGAAATATGAGCAGTTGACTAATTAGAATGTATTTAAATGTAAGAAACCACATTAAAATTACCTGGTACTCCTACTACCACTTCAGAATCATTTATCTGAGATTAAAATGTGAGTTTAGGGATAACAGTAAAACAAAATGAGCCAAGAAACAATTGTGACTGATAACACTCCATTCAGCATCCAAAGAACTCCATTACTTTTACAGCCTGGTATTTCTTTTTAAACGGAATATATCACAAGCAAGCAAAGATGATGACAAACAGCAGAGTAAAATAACATCTGCAAGAATTGGACAGAATTTAAACATCTGAAACTTCAGTCAAGCTCTAACACTCAACAGACTTGAGGTCAAAACCTGTTGCTCCCAGCCCCACCCCCCTTTTTTTTTAATTAAAGATCCTTTCTAAAAATAAGCAACCAGAGCTTGTCAACATTTTTTCCAACGTTGATTACTACAAAATCATTGCAAAGTTAAATGTACAAACCATAGTACATCAGAGAGACACAACAATAAATGTATAATCAGATGTACTATTACTGATCACAATTTATTTAAAAGTCATGAAAAGCCAGCAACAGAACACACTGAGGGCTGGACAAATACTTGATTGTACCCATGTTTCCGTGGGATACGGACAGCAGCACTGAGTTACACAATGAGAGCAACACTTTTCCTTTCCACCTTCCTGGCAAAATTTTTGTTACATAAGGCAAAGGATGGGCAGCTACCAAATGGCAATCTGAACCATGCAAAGACAACAATATGATAAGAGTTAAAGGTGTGCAATAAACATCTGATAGCTGAAATCTTGGGCTGCAAAAGGCAGGGAGAAAAATTAGCACAAATGGTAATGGCATTTCACCTCAGAATTTTTTTTAAGTGTGTAAGAAATATGCCTTTTTAAAATGTCTTCCTGCCACCTTACACAAGGCAGCACAATCCAAAGATAATTTCTCTTTTCTGTAATTTTTTACAATAATACACAGAGTGGTTTTTAAGACTTCTTTCACTCTCTTTTGTTCCACATGAGGGAAAACACATAAAACCATCGAATTAGCATCGTCCAAAGCTCTGGATTATAGAAATGATCGATGAACATTTATTTCACACCTAAGCATAAATAGCTAAAATGAAGATTACTGATCACTTTCCTCTTCCATTATTTCAACTCTGCGAGGCCCATAAAGTAGAACATAAGCTATATGCCAGTCTCCACCACCAGAAAGTCGCAAGATATCTTCTGGTGTAACAATGCTGACTTTATCATCATCAAACTTAATCCATTCATCTAAACAGCAAGAGGGGGGAGAAAAAAAAACATTGTTCAGGCTTTGTTTGTAGGTCCACTGCAAAAAGTATCCAAGCAATTTTATGCACAGCAGTATTTTGTCTGTTACACCAAGAGCTCTCAAAACGTGATCTGGGGATCCCCAGGACCACTTTGGGTATTCCATGTAAAATATTTTCATAGTACTGAATGCATAATACTAAAGTATATTTAAATATTTTAAAGTATTTTTAACTTTCCAAATAATAGTTGGAAATAAGAATGCAATTTTTACCTTGTTTCCTTTTCACCCATGATACATAATGACCTGAAGAACTAGACCTTCCTTGATGAGTTAGCACTGCTTGTAAGTCATAGTATCCACAGTTATTCGAACCAATATCTAAAGAGATGTAAATTCATTAATAACTACAGATGTATGCAGACATGTGCTTTCTCAAGGTAGAACAACTCTGAAGTTCAAATAAGAGAAGTGTCACTCTATTAGAATTCGGTAGGAAACTACAGTACAACCACTATAAAGTTCTATAAGAAAAGTTTAAGATGAATGTGATCACTCATTGAACTGTATGCTTTTAATAAGGATGAATTTTCTATGTCATATTGACGTAAATTATACACACACAACAGGAATGTAGATGAGTCAACAGATAAGTGGCAAGATAATAATTTCACCATTAATGGAAAAAAAAAAGTAAAAATTTCACTTACCATCAGCAAAAGAAAAAGGTTCATACTTAATTTCTTTCTGGGGACTATGTTTTTGGTCACTCTGAGGAGAAAAAAAAAATCGCAAGATCAGGAAAGTGCTCAATATAAAAGATCAATATGTAAAATTAGTTATATATCTACATTAACAACAAACAACCTGAAAAGTAACTAGAAAATTTCCTGCTGACAAAAGCATCAAAAATATAATACTTATGAATAAACTTAAACAGTAGTAAACAAACTGCTCACTGAAGCTATTAAATACAGCTGGAAATATTAAAATATTAAAATATTGTTGTTAAGCACCATCGAACTGATTCCATTTATAGGGTTTCCAAGGAGCGGCTGATGGGTTTTGAACCACCAACCTTTTGACTAGCATTCGGGTGTTAATCCTACAGTTGCAAAACTCCTAATTGCTCTAAAGATCCAATACAATTCCCACAAATTCCAACTGCCTATTGTGCAGAATTGGACAAGGTGATGATAAGATTCACACAGAAATGCCAAGGTTCTAGAATAGTTCAAACAATTTGGAATATAAAAAAAATCAGAAGGCTCATTTTTTTTTATGATACAGTGCATAACTGCTTAGGTCATCAAAGCTATAAGTTTACAGGGAATGTCTCCAACCCTAAAGACAAAGTATGAATTTATAAAGACACTGATAATAATGAAAGGTAAAAACTTTTCAATGACATGAGCTATCCGGCTTCTGACAGAACCAACTTACAACAGTGTAGAGATGACAAACCCCAACATAATGACACCACCAAATGCTACAAGAATGCAATGGCAGGCCCCAGGATCCACCATGGAATGCCAGTGCCACTGCAGCAGCAAGGGCGGCTCAGGGAGAACTGGGGCTAAAGGCTGGAGCCTCCACTTAGCGGACCCAAGGGCACTGCAAACGCCGACTCTGTCTTCCCAACCCCTTCCTTGTGGCCAGCCCCCAGAAGCTTAGGGACTGCTACTCCTCCAAAAGATACATCCTCCTAAACACCGGGGAGGCTAAGCTGCAGTCCTGCACTCCGCCCTCAGGACGACTCCTCCATGGCCTTCCCATCCCAAGTGTTGGGGGCAGGGGTGGCCAACAGGTCCATCTTCATCATCCTTCTCCTGATGTGGCTCCTGCCAGGTGCTGGATGACTCTGGGCCACGCTCTATGACTAGAAGGTGCAGAGGACGAGCTGTGCCCATGGTCAGCCAGTGGAGGTGCTGTCCAAAGATGCCACTGTGAGGGCGACAAGAGCTGGTGGACTAGCCAGATGCAGGGGCGCACCTGCATCCTTCCAGCCAACTACGTGGCACCCTGCCACACATCCACTGCGAGTATGCTCAGCAGTCCACATCGAGTTCAAGCAGCTGAAGCGAGGGAGCTGATGGGCACCAGCAGCTTTGGGGAGGTGTTCTGAGTCACCTGCCTGGGCCAGGAGGTGACGGAGAAGGCAGAACATTGCAACCCAGAGCAGGACACAGCGGCCGCAGCTAAGAACAAGCAATACAAGGTGAAGCTCTTCTCCAAGCTACAGCACCCCAACACCATTCAACGGTAAGATGTCAGCCTGCGGCAGCCCACCCTCTACCTGATTCTCTAGTTCAGCTGCCGGGGAAAGCTCAACCACACCCTGGCAACAGCCAAGGACTCTCACGCCCTCAGTTCGAGCCACTAACATCACCCTCCCCCTATTCCCCTACCCCTGCACGTTCTGGTCAACTGGGTGGTGTGGTTAGCACGTGGTATGCTCTGTCTGCACCAGAAGGCCCTAGTGCCCATCCTGCATGGGGACCTCAAGTCCAGCAACATTTTGCTAGTTGAGAAGGTAAAACATGACGACGACATCTGCAGTAAAACATTGATGACAGATTTTGGGCTAGCAAGGGAGTGGCACTGGACATCCAAAATGAGTGCCACTGCCACATTTCCATGGATGGTACCGCAAATCATCAAGTCCTCCATGTTTTCTAAGGGAAGTGGTATCTGGAGTTATAGAGCGCTGCTGTGGGAACTGCTCATGGGAGACATTCTCTATGGTGGCATTAATGGTCTTACTGTGGCTCCTGGAGTAGCCATCAATAGGTTCACTCTGCCAATTCCATCTACCTGACCTGAGCCATTTACTAAGCTAATGAAAGAATGCTATGAACAAGACCCTCATATTCGCCCATCATTTGCCTTAATTCTTGAACAACTGATGCTACTGTAGACTGACATGCTCCAAGAATCTTTTCATTCCATGCAAGATGATTGGAAACTGGAAATTCAACAAATGTGTGAGGAGCTGAGAACAAAGAGGAAGACTTCTCCTGAAGGGCTGAAGTTTGAGAGTGAATGAGCTCCCCTTTATGATGGCAGTCTCCAGAAGAACTGCTAAAGCGGGCCCAACAGCAGCTTGCAGAGCCAGAGCTTTTAACATCATGCTATTCCAGTTAAATCAAGTGAAATCCAATGTGTAGAAGAGGAAGAGGAACTTGAAGAGAAGTCGTTTAAAACTCAAAGATGGACACTGAATCCATTACCTTCAGATTTTCAGCAGAAAATTACCATACAGGCTTCTCCCAACTTGGAAAAATGAAGTCTGCACAGTAACAACTCTAGTCCACCCAGCAAGAGCCCGACAATAACCCCCCCACATCTGACCCATACAGCTGACTTCACATGAAGTAATACAACTTGGGGACAGAAAACAGTCTGTCACCAAGAAGAATTTGAAGATGTGAAAACGAATTTCAATCTTGGTTTCCCTGGCATACCACTATAAAAAAGACACTTGAGGGGGGAGAGAAAGGAACAGCCAGAAATACCACTATAGAAAGCTTGTAAGTCCATCTTCTGCCTGTAACTTATTGGAATACCTAAAATGGGGCTACAACATGCCCGTTGAAGGAGGATTCCTGTGAAGCCTCTGCATTACATAAGACTATAGGTGGAATCCTGAACCACATCCAGAATCTTCTGAGGTGGGAAATTTCCACTTGAAATGACAAGCACACCAGCCTGGAACAGTTACAAGAACAGAATACACTTCTTGAAAGAAAGATCAACAGGAAAAATACAAAACAATATAGACTGATTATTACAAGAACAAGCAAGTTGCTCGCGCCCAGGAGACATCAAGGCAAATGGTCATGTCCCCTCAGAGCAAACCCCCTTCCAAGACTAAGACTAAGAATGGGAGTACACGTTCTAATTGGTGACCATGTTCGTCACCGATAAGGGGAAGTGACAGAAAAACAGCAATGAGCTAAGCCCTACAACATTCAATAGACTCCTGTGAACCTGGGTGGAGACCTGGTTGCCCAGCAGTGTGGCAAGACCTGGGGACTCTTGGGCCCAGAGTCAGTGACATAGCCACAGAGGACTAGAGTGGAGAGTGAAGCGTCCAGCTGATAAGAATAGAGGGCATATGCACAAGAACACCCACACTTGCAGATAATATCCACTTGACCTGGCTCCAATGACTGGATGATCAGAGCTCAACTAGAAAAAGAAAGAAAAGGAAAAAAAGAATAATCTGATACAATTTGATGAACTTGACCTATACCTGTGGATGCAATAGCTCAAAAGAGGGAACAATCTTTACAGCTAGGATCATTCCCACCCTTTCCATACACAGGGTAGACAGGGATGGACAACTTAGACATGTCTACACAAAATGGAGAGGCCTCAAAGGCAAGAAGTGACTGGCTTACAAGCTTTCAAGAGGGAATCTAGATCCAGAGGGCTTGGAGGAAGGTAGAATCTCTACTGAGTAGTATACAATCTGTCTAGGTGGGACTGATGAAAGGAATTACGGATAGGTCTCTTGTGATATAATAGTGAATAACTATTATCAGGACTGATTGTGAGAGTTGGAAATGTAAAGGTAGACATTTTGTATCAAGGAGGGGAGTAATTAACTTTGCAGTCTAAGAGCGGAGGTCCCTAGGACCATCAAGGGAGAAGAGCTAAGAGCGAGACCCTATCCAAGAGAAGCAGTGACACTAGAGATGGAGGCAGAGACGATGACGTGGAGAGATGGAGCAGCTGGGGACTTTGGACCAAGAGAGGGAGAGGGGCTCTGTGCTGATGGCTGGCGGTGGGGGAGGTAGGCAGGCTTGCAGGGTATACCCTGTGGTTGATGTTGCATGGAGGGGATTATAATCATGGCAATGAAACAATATATGATACGATTAATGTAAAACTAATGTTCTCCCATGTAAACTATCACATAATTCACAATAAAACATTTAAAAAAAAAAAAAAAAAGGGAATTTCAAGAAAAAATGTTGTGCCTTTTTGGGGACCAAATTCAATTCAAATTAAAGAAAGAGCTGACTACAAAGAAAGAGTTAGACCTCACTCAGATAGCAACAGTCCTTGGTCAACTATCTTAGTAATAAATCAGAAAACCATGCTCCCTTCGCTTCATTATTTGTAGACCAGCCAGATACTTGTGAAGAGCCAAAGCTGATGGGTTAGAAAACAGAAGACCAAAGCAAATAAAATCGCCTAATCAAGCCTATGTTGATCCATATCTTTACAAAGACAATCACGGAGAGAATCCCGAGGCACCTGAAAGCCTCAAGGGAAGAGGGCTCTGCAAGTTCTGCCTTAGACATTTCTCAGGTAGCTCCTGCAAATAGTCTGAATAGAGCACCCCAGAAAAAGAAAATGTAATCTGCTCTGTATGAGTACACCATCCTTCTGGCATCTGTGGCTTTGGGACTGGATATTTGAGAGATTGGTAAGGCACAGTCTCCTGAAGAACTGCTGTTCAAAGAAGAAAAGAAGAAAGGAGAGGGAACCTTCCAGCATTCCTCCAAGTCTTACAGAAGTGCCAGCCCTCAGGTGAGACTGCAATCTAAGAGGAAGTCAGCAGCCCTTCCTCACTCCCACTGTCAAGTGCTCTGACTCTTCTGTCGGAGCCTTCACTGCCCACAAAGTGCTTGTTGCAGACCGATAGTGAGGACGTGTCTGTGGGTAGCATACATGGCATCAGTTACCCGGAGATTCCTACTCTGCATCTTTGTTCTGCCACCCAAGGATGCCATCAGGAGCCAACCGCATTGTTGAGACTC